GTTATTTAAAGAGTAATTAAATAAAAGTAAAAAAAATAATTGTTAAAGAGTGATTTTTTTAAATAAAAGTTTTAACTGTAAAATAATATATATATGCTCTTTTATGGTGCGACACTTGAAGTAAGAAATAGCTAGGAATCGTACAGCATCCTAAGTAAAAACACTATCAGCTGACTGTCAAGAAATGTTTACCGCTGCTATTTTGGCATTTACTTTTGCCGATTACAATTTCTTCCATATCAATTGCTTTTTTACAAAACATACCACTACACTGACCAATAACACCAATACACTAACCAGCGTTGCCGTTTTGATGGAATATTTTTCGAAATTTAAATTTTTGGGTAGATTGATAGATTCGTTAATAGCTGCGGGTGGTTCGGCTTTGTCAACAACAACAATTTTTCTATTATTTTTTATTATTTTTTTTTATTTATTATTTTCTATACTTTTACAAAAATGATCCAATTTTCATCGCGATTGATCGAATTTCAAAATGTGGTAAGTATTTAGACCTCAACTTTTTTTTTGGCAATCATTTGAGAGAAACGAAAAATTAGAAGTATTTACATACATATGTATGTATACGAAGATTAAAAGAGTTCAGTTTTATCAAAGAAGATATTTATTCATTAAATATATACATACATATAAACTAAAGAACTTAAAAATATTAATAAGAAAAAAAGAATACAAAGTAACAATTTATGCAGTGGTGGACAGCATAGAAAACAAAATATATATATATATGCATACACACTATTTTTATAATTTTCCTCAAAATTCTAAGTAAAATAAAATATGGCCATGCTTTTTACCATAATGACACCAAGCTTTGGTTATACATACATACAAATGTAGTTGCATATAGCATGTTTAATAAAAAAAAGAATTAATTCAAAGTTTATTTTTTTGGAAATTTTAACACTCAATTAATAGGCTTGGTAAGAAAAAATACCATGCAAATATATGAATTTTTTTACTTTGAGTGCCTCTCTCACAAAATCAAAATTTTAAATTAATTACCTTTCCTATTAAACGTGCTTTATATTGTTATATACAGTGACGGGGAAATAAATAAGGACGCAATATTTAAGAAATTTTGACTAATTTTGTTTTTATTTTTTTAATATTTATTGATTTTTTATGAAAGCTCACTGTCTTACAAAATGCATGTAAGTGGATACTTCAAACTCTGTACAAAAATTAGGAAAATTGTAGAAACTTTCATTAAAATTTAAATTTTTTAATAATAATAATTCTTTAATAAAAAAAAAACAAAGTTTGAAATTTTGACTTACTTGAATTTTGCGAGATAGCTATACTTTTACAAAAAAAAAGTTAAAAAGCGTTAAATAAACAAAAGAAAAATTGTCAAAACTTCTTAGAACGACGCGTCCTTATGTGTTTGCCCGCCACCGTACTTTCACGCCGTTTATGAAGCCTTAGGAAAGTATTTAAAATTTGCTTAAAAAAATACATTATCTAATATGAAAAAAAAACACTTTAAATCTATTACTGCATTTACAATTTTACACTTAAAAAACTACATATCTATAGCTAAATATGTATGAAGAAAAAATCGAACAACAGAAGCGTTTCAAAAATTAGAAAGTATACGAAATTTTATTTTATTTTTATTTTAAGTGAATTTACATAGTTTAATCTAGCGTATGCACATTTATACATGCATACATATGTATGTATTTATCTGACTTAACCCATTTTACCGCTGACTTAAATTTACGAAGGTATACAAAATTTTTGAGTGCACTGTATGTTATTAATAAAATATTGCAAAAGGTAATTATGTATTTCAATTGTATTAAAGAGTCTGCTTGCTCTATGTACATATGTACATACATACATGTATATTTTACAATTTTTTTATGCATAGAAATATATATATTTATACATATGTACATATGTATGTGTATGTACATACGAGTAGTTATGTTATGCTGTGTATTTGCGCGTGTAGAGTACAAAGTTTAACGTGCTATTATTACAATTGAAGTTAGATAGAAGAAGGAATCTGTATGTATGTAGTATTTAAGTGGAGACAAAAAACAAAAGTAAAATTCAATTTGCTATTATTTACTAATTGTTTTTGTTGTTTATTAATATTTGTTGGTTCGTGGAGAACTTGTTTGTTAGGAGCCGAATGTGAGTGGAGTAGGTTCTTAGGCATAAACACATTTCAATTAAATAATTTGAAATATGTTTTTGAATTTGTAATTTTTTTTTTTTACATATATGAAGTGTGCTTCGTGATTTGATATAACTTTATACATATGTATTCCTTCTTATTTTATGCAAAGCTAATTTTATTGTTAAGTGCATGTTTTTGTTAATAATTGCTAAACGGCGAGAGTTTTGAATTGATTTTATATTAAATGTACATATGCAATTAGAGCTGAGACTTTTTTAAATACGTACTTAAATATGTACTTGGGTATGGTGTATGTATGTGGATTTTTGGTGCTTAATTTCTTTTTATTTCTGTACTTTATTAATTTTAGCTTAAAACTGCACACTTTTTATTGCTCCAATAAAGTTTTTTTTGCTCTTTTTTTTGTTTAGACTTAGTTGTAGACGTATTTTGTAAACTTTGCTTGTAAGCCATTGATCGTTTAAAAATATATGTACATACATACAGTGGTAGAAAATAAATAGGGAACCGTTATTTTAACAAATTTTGCCTATTTTTCTTTTGTTTATTTAATTTTTTTTTTCCTTTTTAAAAGTGTAGCCCATGATTTAACAAAAACCATATAAATTCTTATTTCAAACTTTGTGCAAAAATTATAAAAATTCTGCAAAACTGCATCTAAATTTTAAATTTTTTAATCAGATTATTGAGCAGGAGGTTATCAATTCATCGGAAGATATATGTTTTTTTTTATGTATGTTACCGCATAAATTTGGACCACGTTAACCGATTTTTNCATTTCACATTTTTTTATGTATGTTACCGCATAAATTTGGACCACGTTAACCGATTTTTTAAACGAAAGGTAGTATCTCCGAGGTGGTCTCACTTTGGTTAAGATCCGATCATAGGACTATGAGGAAATTAACGGTACTCTTAAATTTTTATATAAGAATTAAAATCGGTTTTGTTTTTGCTTAAAAATTGCTTGTTGATAATTTTTTTCTGTATGTGTTGCACGCTCTTTCCATCAAAAAAAATTTTCGAACATATTTGTATGGAAGAAAAAGCAGGAAAAAAATTGCCCAAAATCAACGCGATATTTTAGCGACTTATTAAAAAGTTGAGAAGTTAGTTGTAATTTAGCACAATTTTTATAATTTTTGCACAAACTCTGAAATATGAATTTATATGGTTTTTGTTGGATAATGAGTTATACTTTTATAAAAATTTTAAATAAACAAAAGAAAAATAGCAAATATTTGTTTAAATGTCGTGTTCCTATTTATTTTTCCACCACTGTATGTATTTTTGATATTTGCATATTTTTTTGGTGGCATAAAATGATTAGGTTTGTATTCGAAAATAAGTAAAATTTGACACTTTAATTAAAATTCCGCTAAAAATTATTTGCTTCACATTTTGCTTAGCTTATAATCTTCTACTATTGTAGTTGCTTTCACACACATAATAAAACGCAAAAAACAAAACGCTTAAAGTAAATTCCCGTAGAAATATTGTACGTACACAAACTTTCTGCAGGTACATACACACATACATATGCGAATTTGTATGCATCTGTATTCTACATACAACTAAAAAAAGGCAATCGTTTCAAACACCGCATTGTTATTTCATTCGTTACTCNCCTACATACAACTTAAAAAAAAGGCAATCGTTTCAAACACCGCATTGTTATTTCATTCGTTACTCATTTCATTCTTTGTCTGTAATCGTAAAAGCAAAATGGAAACTTTAAATCATAGTAAAGGAAAAATATATAACTTATTATACATACATACATATTTCGTATATAATCTACACTTAAAGGAGCTTGTCAGGCGCATCCGGCCAAGCTGTGCGAGCGAACATTCGAATTGAGTTGAACGACTAATTGAGTTTCCGGTTTCTTTTATGTTCGTACACTTCCTATTGCTTGTCGCTTACTGATCATTGCCTTACTTGCCTACTGTCTGTGTTGTCAGCTGTCAGCTAAGCGACGAATCAGCTAGTCAGTCAGTTGTTATGCAGCAGCACATTTACAGCATCTTGCTAGATGTGTTACATATGTATATTTATGTAATCATATAGATACATATATACTTGTACATATGTAGATGTATATGTGTAAGTATATTTATATGAAGGATGCGTTTAGGGCAAATTTAAGCTGGTTGATGTATCTTGGTCTCTAGTAAAATATTGGGTTTTAAGCAACTGCTATTCGTGAATGAAATGGATGTCACAGGCTTCTAAAAGGGTTAGCTCTTATAGAATTCATGTACGTAAGGGTTTGCTGTTAAATGTGTTTTACTCTCAGCTGAAAGTGGCAAAGACTTAGGTAGCGAATAATCGGTTCCAATAAAAGTTTTGAATTTTCATTTTATGGAAATTTGTGCTCCGATGGGAATTTACAATAATACTACCTACGAATCTATTTTGAGAATATTTCGTGAAAAACAACAATTTCGTTAGATCCACGGAATGTAAATTTTTTACTTGTTTTGGGCTTCAGGGTGTGTTGTACTGTGGAACGATTTTCCATTAACCATAGTCAAATATGACATTACTCTCGTTAGTGAGTCTACAGTGATCTCGGCATGAAATACCTTAAAAGAGCACTATTTCTCGAAATACTGTCTCTCGCACCGGGTTCTAAAGAGATACAAAATATCAGAAGAAATAATTGGGGATAATACAGAAAACTTTTGGTTTTGTAAGAATCTACCTTCTGAGCAATGTAACACACCGGAAGCGCGGGAAGAACTTGATCAATTAGGGTTACTATTTTTGTTGACTAAAAAATATCTTTTTCAGCCGCCTAAGACTCGGTTATATTTCCGTAATCATATCGAAAGCCGGTATAAACATGCTTAGGCTAATTCGCCAATTCCTCAGAGTTTACTGAATCTACAAGGCCATTGTTCGTACGATTTCGCTCTAAGGAGCCCGAATATGGTGGCGCGATTCTACATCTGCCCCCACTTGACGCTATTGCTCGAGAAATAGTCATTATTGCAGCTTTAAGACACAGAGCAGAAAGCTTCTGGACCCATGGTACATCCGGCCACTCGAAAATCCTAAGGACGATGACACCCATTCCGATACCTTCAAGTACTAACTACTGTATACCATTAAATACCTTCATCAAAAAATAGAAATTTACCATTTCAACTCAACAGGACTGGAGCACCAGACTTTCCCACATACGTAACGCTATAAATATGCATACTGATGGCTACGAAGTCAACGGAAAGGTCGGTGAGGAGCCTTCTCCCCGTAGCTGGATTTAGAAACATTTTTACGGCTTCCGGACTAGTAGAGTATATAACAGGCGGTGCCGGTTGTTATCTCGGAGTGCCGACTAGTAAGAAGACCCAAAGACAGTCAAGCAGTCCTGAAAGCTGAGACTAGAGCGCAAGTAACACAAAGTCTCTCTCTCGAAATGAGATGGCCCAGCTTTATAGAATACAATTCATATTGATGTCTGGACATAGAGATATTAAGGGAAAATGCAAAGCTGATGAACTAGTGAGGAACGGTACGACCGCCAAAATCCTTTCGGCGAAGGACGTGGTAGGTATGCGAATATACACTTTTTAACTATGTATTAGGGACAGCCCCACAAAAGCAGCAAACGAGCGCTAGGGAAACCTCTACTTCTGTGAAACCGCCAGGCTTACGTGGCCTTCTTACGTTGAACTCTTAGGGTTAAAACGGAGCGAAGCATCTATTCTCACAAGAATACCTACAGGCCATTGTCTAATTGGAGCACATGCCTCGAGATTGTCGCGTTCACTGCCAGACTATTGCCGCAGCTGCAGATGCAAAGAAGAGGGCGATAGTGTCGAGCACCGCATATGCCAATGCGCAGCACTCAGCAGAAGACGACTATAGAAGCTCCGAAAACTCTGTCTACAGGACTTTGCGGAGATAGCGGAAATCAATATAAGAGAATTACCAAAGTTCATTACGTTGACGAAATGTTTTGATCCCGCGTGAGCGTCGCAATATCATAGGGGAACGAATATTGCATATGGCATCACAATGGACCTGCGCTGAGCCTTAGTGTACGGGCAGTCACTCTTTATACGTAGACATTTCAATCTAACCTTACTAACCATTGCTCGCGAAAAGGAAGTTGATTTTCTCGTACACAGTCTCGTTCATAGAAATTACCTTACTCAAATTAGTCTCACATGCCAATTCGCACGCTCTTTTCACGCTACTCAAATGCGCCGCGGCTTTTATTTTGTTATTATTATTTATTTTATTTTTTTTTTATATGTATGTAAACACATTTGTATATGTATGTATTTTAGGTAATTACGTTTGTATGTATATTTTATTTAAGAATCCTAACTACTGCTTAGAGATGTAAAAGCTGTTGCTACCACTGTTGCTTGCACGTGTACTTCCCCTCATACATAAATATTTACATACATACACATGTACGTCTCTATCTGTGTGTGTGTGTTCAACTGTTTCCATGCATTTTTATTTTTTTTGAGTGTATTTTGTGTCTAACTGTGCGCGTCGTTCCAACTAGTTAACATATCTACTTATGTACATACATATGTCGTCGATCGACATAACCAGTTGTGCTTTTCTTCGTCCGCTTATTTTGGCTACTGCCTTGACACTGCACTACTTAAAAGAAGAAATCTTCTACATCACCATTATTCTCATCACTACCGCTACCGCTACCGATGCCCATTCCAATTCCTATACCTAAACCGATGCTTATGTTATCGTCGACATTATTCAGCTCGTCGTCGACCGTAGTGTCTTGTTCGCTCAAGCTAAGCGTGATGGGCATGGTGTCTGTGTTTGTGCTATCGGCGACTGTAGAAGTCGTGGTTGTGGCGGCCGTGGCCGTGGCCGTGGCTGTGTCGGTTGTGTCGTCATCTTGTCTGCACTTCGTTGTATCCGCCAGCGGATTGCCCAGTACCTCAGTGACGTCGACTATGGGCCCCAGCGGATCGAAGGTGTCGTCGAGCAGTACACCACTCTCAATAGCTGCAACAGCTTCCTCATAGTATCAGTTAAGATCCTTTCGAAAACTGTCCTCGATTGTTGGATCGGCAATCATGATCGAGTTCTGGTCCGCTAGCAGATCTAGCGCAGTCTCGTCCATTTGACCCAAATCCAAATCGAGCGAGTCGAAAATCTCACGCGACGAATAGTCGGAGAAAATGATCGCCGGTATGTTGGTGTTGGTTGGTGTGCTAGCGTGATTGTGTGCATGATGATGGTGCTGCTGGATGTGTTGCGTCGTTTGTTGGTGTTGATGGTGTGGATGCGTTGACGCATTGTTGGTGCCATTACCGTTGCCATGTGGCGTTGGCGACACACCGCCGGCTAATGTCGTTATGCCCGGCGAGGAGGATGACAGTGGGGAGGCGTGGTGCGGCGAATGCATTGGCGAATGATGAGGTGAAGGTTGTGCTGAGTGTGAGTGCAGCGACAGCGACATCTGTTGGTGTTGATGATGTGGCGACTGTGCCGATATGGGAATCGGTAGCGGCGACGAGGGTGACGGCAAACAGCCCAAAGGCGAAGGTATGGGTGAAGAGTTCTTTTCATTCGCTTGCGTAAGATTCACATTGTTGTTGCTGATGCGACATGGCCCATTTGTGTTTGAGTTGCTGTTGACATTGCTGCCACCGCCGGCGCCATTGTTTTCTAGCAGTTGGTGCGCCAGTATGCGTGACGTCTGTTGTTGCTGTTGCTGCGAGTTGTTGTTGTTGTTGGAGGTGTTTCTGCCATTGTTGGTGTTACACGTACCGCCACCTCTACTGGTTTGCGTTGTCGTCGTCGCTGTAGACACTGAAACGCCTGTCAGATCACTAAAGTTCAATTGTTTGCTTTGTGATAGGCTCTGCGGGTATGTTGTGCCATTGCCACCGGTGACGAAGTCATCAAAGTCTAGCGCTGTAAAGCTGTTTTGCTGCTGTTGCTGTCGCTGCTGCTGCTGATAATGCTGCTGCAATTGTTGCTGTTGCTCGGGCGAGGAATTGCTATCACCAAGCGTAAACTGCTTGAAGTGGTTGTGGAACGACGGATTGAGACTGTTATAACCACTCGCCTCTAGCGCACCTGCCATCGCCGGCGAATAACGATCGAATGTCTGGATGTTTTCCTCATTGTAGCCTTGCATGCCTTGGCCGATCATGCCGGCCTGCGGATGTCGAATCGGGCTGGCTGGCGCGCTGATGTGTATCACTTCATTACCTGACACGGACGTCAGCAAGCCGGGCGAAGAGCCTGGGCTGGGTGGATTCAGGGGTTGTCGGTAGTCTGTTAAATTGCCCGTGGAGCTGGCGGCGCCCAGGGTAGGCAGGTTGGTGAAATTGCCAGTTTGTGCGGTGTTTTGTGTGGCCGGGCCGCTGCCGGTTGGCGATTGCACGGCGAGATTTGTGAAGGACAAATGCGGTGATGTTTGCGCAGCTGTGGGTGTATTGGCGGCAGATGTGGGCGAGTGCTGTTGCTGTTGGTATGGCGACGGCGGACCGCCACCACCACCACCACCGTTGCCGCCATTGCCACCGGCCGGACTAAAGGGACTCGACGACTGATCGCGGTCGCGACCATTGTTGTGCGGTGACAGTATTGGCGACAGTGTTTGTTGTTGCTGCGGCGCCTGGTTTATCAATTGCTGTTGCTGCGCAGGCGCATAATGTAGTGAAGTTAGATCCGGCAACGAACCAGTGTTGGCGAGCGACTGCTCCTGCAGTGACTTGAAGAGGCTATTTATTGGTGGCATATTGCAATTGGTGTATTTGGCATTGAAGTGTTGCGGAAGTTGTTGCTGACTAGCACTACTCGCTGGCTGTTGCGTATGATGCTGTTGGACATGTTGTTGTTGTGCTTGCTGATGCATGTGCTGTTGTTGCTGCTGCTGCTGCTGCTGATGAAAATGCTGTTGCAGCTGCTGATGTTGCTGCTGCAAGTGCAATTGCTGCTGACTATGGTGCAACAGTTGCTGCGCTTGTTGTTGTTGCTGTTGCTGATGCATCAGCATCTGACCCTTTCGTCTTTGTGCTTGTGGACTAAAACTGCGGCCAATATTTGGCGAATGAGATCGTTGGTTGTGGTGCTGGTAGTTAGCGTGTAGCGCGTTCATCTCGCCGGGCAGCCCACCGATGCCGGGCAGCCCACCGATGCCGACCATGCCGCCCGGACCAAAGCCACCCTCCGCAGCGACTGCCATATTGAGGGTTTGATGAAGTGCCGAATCGGAGTTGGAGCGCCGCCAACTGCTGTCCATTGGCGGGCTGAGATAGGCGTTGTTGCTGCTAATTGCCGCGCCCATGCCGACTGCGACGCCTGCGTTGCTGCCGTACGGGGAACGATCCTGCTTGCGCTCCGAGGGGCGTCGCATGGGACCAACGCCGACGCTGCGTCCACGGGACTCGCGCACACCATTACCGCCTGTGCCGCCAGTACCTGTGCCGTCTGGGGAAGTGCCACCACTACCACTACCCCCGGCATTGGCGACGGGTCCATTGCTGCCGCTACCCTCAGCGATGCAGCCGACGCCACCGCCAGCGCCTCCTCCCCCACCGCCACTGCCACCGCCGCCGATGCCTGCAGCACTTATCAAACTGGCATTTGTAGCATGATTGCTGCCGATGTCAGTGTTTACCAAACAGCATTCAAGTATCTTCTGATTCGCTTGAGTCTCATCCATTTTGGTTGCGTAAACCTCTTTCATAATCCGTTCGAACTCGGCGGTGCCTTCCTGCTGGCGCTGCTTCTGTAACGCAATTTTCTCGCTGAATTTGCGCGGATTCGCCATCTTTGCTCACTGACTCAAGTCTGCGGTTATGTTAGATGTTCGGATGGGTCGGTCGGTCGATTCTTGTTGCCGCTGTGGGGCAAGCGCGTGCGACTGTCGCGTGCCGTTTCCTGCTCTAATGGATTGCGTTTATTCGTCTGTGCTGTTGTACTGCTTGCGAAAATGTCAATATCAGACGCGCGGAAGCCGGCATAATGGTGGTCGATGTTAGTGTTGTTGTTGTTGTTGATATTCGGTGACAGCAGACGAACAATGACCGACGATGCAAAAGCAAGCAAAGCACAACCGTACCGAACGACGACAACCGACGCATTGATAACACAAACGAACAAACGGGTGCACGTAACCGGGCGACGGTAATGGAAAACAAATGCGAATCGCATAAGGCGGAGAATTTACGAATATGGTTGGTTTGTCGGCGGGAGTTGAGTGCGAAGGCGGCATCGATGTGTGTGTGTGTGTGCGCGTGTGTGTGTAACGCACAAATTTGTCCCCCATATATCCATGAATTTGATTNGTTGTTGTTGATATTCGGTGACAGCAGACGAACAAGCAAAGCAAAGCACAATCGTACGAACGACGACAATCGACGCATTGATAACACAAACGAACAAACGGGTGCACGTAACCGGGCGACGGTAATGGAAAAAAATGCGAAGCGCATAAGGCGGAGAATTTACGAATATGGTTGGTTTGTCGGCGGGAGTTGAGTGCGAAGGCGGCATCGATGTATGTGTGTGTGTAACGCACAAATTTGTCCCCCATATATCCATGAATTTGATTATTATTTTTATAGGTGTCGTCGTCAGCGTCGTTGTCGTCGTCGTCGTCGTTGTTGTTGATATTTTAGTTGGCGTTGTCATTGTTTAATNGGCGTCGTCGTCGTTGTTGTTGATATTTTAGTTGGCGTTGTCATTGTTTAATAAATTTTTATATTCATCGTTGTTATTGCGAAGTGCGACAAAAAAGATAAAAAGATAAAAAGAAAAAAAGAAAATTCATTTATTAGCCAAAGAAGGGAAAATTTTCGTGCATGCTTGTAGGTATGCGTAGCATATACTAAATATGTTGGTATGTATGCATGTAAAAAAGTGAAAAAAAACCGGCAAGAGTGAGTAAATAAGTAATGAATGCAGTGTTAATCGAAAGCGTATGTAGCTGCGCAAAGACAATTAAAGCGTATATGGTGGTGAGCGTGTTAAGAATTTATAAATTTTAATAGCCTGGAATATGTATTCATAATTAAGTTATGGACGATTAATGAGTGAGTGGAGGAGGGTCCAGAAACTGGCCTGAGTACTGCGGTCATACACACATCAATCGCTATTTGGTCTTATTTATTAAAATACTGAAATACACAATGGTATTTATAATGTATTCAGGTAAATATGCAATGCATTACATGCGCCAAAGAAGGAATGCTTTAGAAGAGAATAGTCAATATACATACATTAGGGTGGTCCTAAAAAATATCAACANAAAATACTGAAATACACAATGGTGTTTATAATGTATTCAGGTAAATATGCAATGCATTGCATGCGCCAAAGAAGGAATGCTTTAGAAGAGAATAGTCAATATACATACATTAGGGTGGTCCTAAAAAATATCAACAGCCAAATTTTATAGAATACACCCTTTCATTTTGTCGTAAAGGCAGCCACGACATTTTGAAAATTTTAAAAAACTTTTTAGCGGTCCTTACCAGGATTTGAAAAAATTTAAAAACTTTTTGAGAACGCGAAAATTCGCCTGCACTTATCGGGAAAGCTGTTAAATTTGACATATTAGTAAAACTAATAAATATCAATTCCAGAACTCGCTGAGCTATAGCTAATCAAAGACAAAAATTTGTCGAATTTTAACGATTAAAAAAAAATAAATTTTTTCAAACGCTGGTAGGGACTCCAAATTTATTTTAATTTTATTTTTAAATGAAGTAAAATAAAGAGGTGCTCTATAAAAAAGTTTACACTTTGATATTTTAAGGACCACCCTAATATATTGGAAAATGTTTTTATAAAATAATTCAAATCAGGTAATGATGTACAAAGAAAGCTAAAAGTTTTTTTGTAGAGAATTGCTGCAGTATTTACCTTTTTAAACTGACTACCTTTAGTTGCATAAGGCTGAATTTCACTACACTGAGAAAATATTTTAGTTACATCAATCAATATGTATGTTTTTCTCATTACATGTTTTGGTTATACATATATACATTATTTGGTTATTGTTATCAAATCATGTGTTGAGAGAAATAAATTTAGCTGACTTTTTTTCTGAGTGTATGTCATATTTTAGCGAAAAAACTTAAGGCTGGTTTTCACTATGTCATATTTTGACGCCAAAAATTTGTCAACATATTTTGACACATCTGCCAACAAGAGAGAGGTAGCCGACTTAGCAGCGCATGTACACGACTAAAGATCTATCCTGATCGAAATCAATCGATATACCCGTTTTAAATCTCATATGCCAATGTGTTTTCACTTATTTGACGGCAAATGCCATTGAATTTGTCATAAGGAAAACAAGCCTTTAGACGACAAATGCCATTGAATTTGACTTAGTGAAAGCCAGTATTTACGTTTTGGTTCGTTTAATATTATATAACCCAATTTCGCAAGGTTCCGTGGAGCGTCGTATTATGGATCATAATTTGGCGACTCGACTACTGGTCAACCAGTGGGAAGAGCATTGCAACTTCACCTCTGGTGGTAGTAAGCTTTAAATAACCATACGGCTCTTGGCGAAGTGGGATGAAAGAGAGGAAATTTTATTCGGATGCTTCTAAAGGCATTGGCCTAAATGAAATATGCACATTGATGCTGAACAACCTGAGTAGGTCGGGTTCTCAATATGCCAATGATCACTCTCATCATTACTTAAGCCGGGGAAACCTGCCTACAAAAAAAGAGTCTTATTGACCGATAACACTTAGTAGATACACTTGGAGGGAGATGACATCAATGACACCTCTCAGTAAGCAGTTGCAGTGTACTCTAAAACAAATGGCTATTTCACCGAAATAGATAAATCTTCACCATAAGCAGCCTAATCCTCCCTCTTACGAAGTCTACGCTAACCATTTTTAAAACCTTTACGAAATAGCTGAGGCTGCGACGTTAAGCAATCCGAAAATTCTGGGATTTACTTTAGACCACCTGGTCCCTTTTTAGGCATACTTAACCACAATTGTCCACAAAGTACAGAATCATAATAACGTCCACAAGCCGCTCGCTGACAGTATAGAACTCAGTGGACGCAGACTTGAACAGCGTCAACACATCGTATGCTGGCCAAAGAGTACTGATCTACAGCCACTGACAGGCTCAAATAGACATGCACCAGCTAGAAGCAGAATCTGCCTCTAGGTGCGCAAGAAGGCATCCCTATGAACTGCAGAATAATATGCAGAACTTCGACAGGCATTGAACGATACTCACAGGGTGACTATAAACAGCTTCAGTTGCTTCGAAAGACTCGCTTCTCTCTGGCATATTTAATTACTTTAGTAGTGTAGTCTTCTACCTATCCGAAATCGACCCTGATGTACTCATCGTATGTCCAGCAGGTGAAGGTTCCCCCCTTTAACTGACTGATTTAATATAAATCCGTTTTGATGCGAGCTCTTCGAAATAGCTGCAGCAGCAAGAACAACCACAATGGAAAGATCCAATGCAGAAGGGCCTGCATTCATTTAGGTGTGAATAACTTGCACACTTTACTCAGAATTAAATAATGAGCACACATGTACACTCCGTCTAAAAATTATAAGCGCACCACAAACATATTAAAACATTTTATTGTTTTTAGCAAATTTAATTTTTTTGTTATTTAATTTTTGTTATTTTCTTATAAAAACGTGGTTTATTTTTATTTTTTTATCTACAGTTTTTTGTCTACAGTTTTGTACATTTTCTTAAATAAAAGATATGATCTATGGTTTTTTAATATGCAGGAAAATAAGGCAGAAACTTCTACAAAAAAAAAAAAATTTATTATATCAAAATTGATTGGGTTACAAATCTGCATACTAAAATTTTTTCCAGAAATCTAAAAAGGAAGAAAAAGCCAAAAATTAACTACCTCAAACTTGTACATCATTATACTTAAATTGATTGGGCTACAAAACTGCTTATTGAAAATCTCCTAAAAAAATTTAATTAAAAAGTTTGTAATTTTTACGACAGTTTGTTGACTTTTTTAATATTGCAAAAAGTTTGACACTTCGATTTGCACGGTTCTTGCCAAAAAATAAGCTAGGTGTATAATTTTGACACAGAGTGTATTTAGTAGCTTTCATCTTACAAGAAACCGCGTACAAAAGTACTTAATATTTTCGGCTTCCCTAAATACCGTATACATATGTATAAAAGTAGTACCGAAAATTCCGAAAAGTATCGAAAGTCCCCAAGAAGAAGTAGTATCCCGAAAAGCCACGAAAAAAATTAAAAAAAAAATCTTGACAAGTTTTGAAAATCCCGAAAAGTTTCGAAAANATACCGTATACATATGTATAAAAGTAGTACCGAAAATTCCGAAAAGTATCGAAAGTCCCCAAGAAGAAGTAGTATCCCGAAAAGCCACGAAAAAAATTAAAAAAAAAATCTTGACAAGTTTTGAAAATCCCGAAAAGTTTCGAAAATCCCGAAACCCCGAAAATTCAAGAAAAATCCTGAAACATATACCATGCAGAATCCTGAGAAGTCCTTAAGAAATACGGGCGAAATTTAAAGAATTTCGAAAAATCCCGAAAATCACAAGTCAAAACGACAAATATTGTGCAAATGTACAGTAAGATTAATTGTACCACCCGCCACTAAATTAGCTTTAAATCTAAATATTCCCTTAGATATGAAAACCAGTTGAGAGCTCTTTCAAAGAAATATTACTTCAACTTGCACCCTTCTGAAACCGAGAGACACTTGTAATACTTTAAACCTAATAATAAATTCAAATCAACGTATGGATTAAGAAGCATTATTAAGTGACATTTAAATATTAATGACCCAAAATAAATT